ACTGAGTGAATGAATATCATAGATGAAGAAAAAGTTAATTTTAAATTAGATGTAGTCTCAGTTAGCTAATCGAAGATTGCATAACACAAAATGATAATAATAATAACGACAAAAACTGCCAGTGTAGTAGCTGCTTACTCAACAGTAGGGACAAGCATTCAGCGGAGTTTTACATTTTTCATCACTGCCTTCCTAAATCCATAATTTTGATTGGATTACCTCCAGTTATCATTATTATTATGGTTATTCTTATATTGTGTTATGCAATCTTCGCTTAGCTGTGTTATGTCCTATGGCCAGTCAAATATCATGTGACGAAAACGGCAATCAGAACACCAACTTCGATGACCTTGTCCCTGTGCTAAATCAATGATGTATTAACCAGCACGAGCAGCCTTGGGTCAATTCTGAGTCCTTATTGATCCCCTGTATATTAACTTCTCGCCTAGACCGGTCCGTTCAGTTCAGAATACAATCTCAACCTCCGCTGTATGAATCGTATATTACAGACATACTTGGTTTATACACCAACAGACCAGACCGCATCACACCACAAAATGAAAAATAATAATTATAAAAGATCAAGTCAAGAGTGGCTGTGAGTGTATGATATTGTAACTGATAAATTGGGAATAAGTTAGGAATGACAAATCGTATTGCAGTAGCCAATAGGTTAAATGAAAATTTATGATAAAAGGAATATGATAATATATATATATAATCCAGTTACTTCATAATTATGCAATAACCATATATGTAATAATAGTCCATAAATAATTCTTAGCAGTTACCAATCATTTATTATTCGACCGGACATAATACTAATATTCAATATTTAGTAGTAATACGTTAGATTCCAGTAAGAATGAGGTTATAAGTAACTGATGTGAGAACTCATAATTTTATTGAATTTGTGTACATTTTTTCAAAATCCCGTCTCACTACTTTGATGTAGTGTGACAACTAGGTCAAATATTTGTGAAGCATGGTCAAATTGCGGACAATCATTTAAAGCTAAGGAGCATTGGATAACTGCTCTATTATAAGTGTAAGAATCCATCAATTAATCGTAATTGAAAGAGTGAAGTACAAAATTTCAACTCAACAGAGTGAAAGATAACGTACTCGTCGAAAAGTTTAAACTTTTCGAAGTCTCAGTCTCTAATAGGATCTTGTTTTAGGTAAATGGACTGATGGAAGTTCTATACGAAAGCGAAACATTTATCCATTGTTTTCTGGTTTTATGCGGCTGCCTAATTAAAATCAGTCTATGGTGTAAACTATAATATTTTATCGACAATGAATCAGTATTAATAACGAATATTTGATAAGATTACAAACAAATAGTAGAAAATACCGACAGAAAGAAAGACAAAACATGAGACAAATATTCACATTATGAAACTTTGCGTCTACGTGTAACTTATAAAGCTATTTCTTTATGTGCGTCTTTCTCTAGTATAAAAAAAGGACACAATTCATGTGTGTTAAGTAAACAAAGTACTTGGTCGAATGAGTTTACACTTCTAAAATAATATCTAGAAACTGAATGTTTACAAATTCCTAATTGTGATAGATGTAAGGTTTTTATCTCAGTTATGTTACAGAGTTATTGATCTGATGTATACAATAGTCATTGAATTATTAAGGTGACACATTTTTAGCTGTTGTACTGTAAACTATACAATTTAATATTAAAATATAAAATGATATATAGAATATTTTTACAGGACAGTAGTCTTGAGTACTGTTAGAGGTATAATGGTGATTATCACTTCCCGGTTGCCCAAACTGTGGAAGTTTTTTCTAGAGGTACCTCTGTACAGTCAGCAGGATGACTTCGTCCTCGGACCTTGGGTTTTTCGCTTTTAGTCTTACAGCTCTTCAACCGACTTTCCTGGAATGGTAGGACCTTGAGGAACTATTTTTCCAGCCAGTATATCAACCTTATGAAACTTGTGCTATTTTACTATAACTCCAATGACAGAAACACATCATAAGATATTTGATAAATACTTAGTACGTTGGGTAACAGTGAAAAGTTAGATCAATATTTATAATCTTCGATCTTTAGTTACTAAGTTGGACGTTTGTTATAAGAACTAGTGATTTAAAAATTTAAATTTAGTTTGTTAGCATTCAGAGAATAGATGTCAGTTAATATAATCCTATCATCCTACAATCTAACTGACGGTGGGAGATAAACTTCTGATAACCGACTTGGTCTTTTCAGATTTAAATCAAACAAAAGATGTGTTTAGTGAATGAGGACCTGCCAAAGGTTGGTTGCACTTTTTGCCAGATAAAATTTCTTCTTTATTCTCTCGGTAACAGATCGATCATTAGATTTTTGTCATAGTTTCACTATTTATCGTCTCATTCAAACCAATTTCTTTGCGAATAGGTTTAACTAATTTAAAAGGTATTACTGAATGGTCTTTACAAGCTATAGATAAATCTTTTCGTCTATTTACTTATTTAAACACATAAACATTGGTACAAAGGGGTACCAAAATATATATGCGCCAAAAAAGTAGTTATCACTTAATTTGCGTGTGGGCTAGGATACTGTCCGAGTGCCCAAACCAAAGTAGGTGGTTTTTTAGAGGGCCACACCCCCGAGTCTTTGATCCAGAGGTCTATTCCACAAGACAGTGGGGCAACATTAGGAGATAAGGTCTCAGGGCAGCCAGTGACCAACAATAGGTTCATACGCCATTTACCCCCAACTGAACCTGGAGCCAATATGTAGAGTTGGTTTGCAATCAGGGTTTTCCAACTCCCCTAGGTTGATCTTCTGTGCCCACCAACTCTGTTAAAAAGCCGCACATTCGCTTTCTATCCTCTCGATTTCGTAAACAACACCCCTGACACAAGAAGGCAATGAGTAGGAATCCCCTGGCAGTGGCTGTATACGCGTAACCATATACGAGCATTTCGAGAAGAGAGTGGATTCTCACCACCCTCTGTCAACCATGGGGTCTGGGACTAATCTTCTTCTCAGTTGTTCGTGTCTGTCACTGATCTGCCTGTAGGTTTACTGCAATTGGATAGTTTTCAAATCAGCTAACCATTTCCATTTATGTTGTTGTGACACTTAGTGAATGAAATATGAAGCTTCGAGAAGACAAGATATGTAATGATGCAGACAAAAATCCGAAATAAACAAACAATGAATAGAATAATTACGGTTGTTTTCAGAAACTATGAACCGAAATATACTAGAACCTGTGACAAAAGCTAAATTAAGACATTCTGTTTAGGTTACACAGATGGCAATAAAGACCGATCAATTGAGGTCCTGAATTTCAATAATGGGATATCACAGATCATTACCAAAAACGTCATACCCGTTGAACAAGTTAATGGCCATATAGATTCAGTAGCTCAGTTACCCAGTCATATACAAAGTAGGACTTAGTAAATTTGTCGATCAGTTTGAGTTGCCATCATGATAAAACTGTCAAAACAAATCCTGGTGTAAGAAGTCAATCAATCAGCAGGAGGGATATATATTAGTAGTGAAAAGTTACAAGGTATTTACATAATACATATGCATAGTCTTCAATTTCCCATATGCATCTTTCAGTGTGTTTTTGCCATTTGAGCTGCCATGTCGTCTGACCTCCAGGTGTTCTGCCAAAGCTGAGCTTCTGGCGTACTGAAACTCTTTACTGTGCTTGACAATTGCTACAAACTTGATGCCACGTTCCGCTGTATACTACTTACAAACAATCCTGTGAGTAGCGTCCACTACACCAGTAACTTATTGGATAATCCATCGGTGTTTATAGTAATAAGAACTGAGTATAAGTCCAGGTGTGAATATTAACATTGGGACCTGGATACATCCAGTTAATAAGTCCCAGAATAGAATGAAACGAGTGTTCTGAATTCCACTACAAGCCGTAAACAATTCGTTCTATCGAACTTATGCACAAAACCTGTATCTAATCAATATCTACACTATACACATATACCAAAGTTAATTGATCAAATTTCAATTCTGAATATTAAAAACAGAAATCAGGAAGAAGCGCTAGAGAAAAGCATCCAACTGCGTCACAAGGCAAGCCCTCACTTGGAATCCTCAAGGCCAAAAGAAAAGAGGTTGACCAAACAACACATTACGCCGACAAATGGAGACAGACATGAGATGAATGAACAACAATTGGATAGAACTAAAAAGGAAGGCCCATCAACAGAGTGGGTTGGAGAATGCTGGTCGGCAGCGTATGCTCCATTAGGAGTAACAAGCATAAGCAAAGTAAAGTAAAGATTTAAACCATTACTAGTAGTGAAATAAATTTGATCTAAAGTTTGAATTAGTGTATCAAGTTCACACATTGTAAGTAGATCACAGATAATCGTCATGATATCAATGTAAAATTTAAGTCGATTATTAAACATAGCAACTATGTACATAAATCATATCTTATTTATTTATTTATTTTAACACATAGATATCGGTACAAGGAGGCACCAAATACATATGCGCCACACAGATCTCATTTGATATGTGTGAGGGCTGTGATACTGTCTGAGTGCCCAAACCGATTCAGATATTTTTCTTAGGGGGCCACACCCGAAGTCTTCGACCTGAAGGTCTGATCCACAAGGCAGTGGAGCATCGTAAGGAGATGCAGTCCCGTGGAAGCCGATGACCAACAACTGGTTCATACGCCATTTCTTCGTTTAGGATACTGAAGCTCATGTGCACCATTGGTTTGGAATCCAGTTAAAGCGCCGGACATTCGCTTTTCGTCCTCTCATTTTCGTAAACAACACCCCCGGCAGTGAGTAGGACTTTCCTGGTAGATGCATTATACGCGTGGCCATGTGAGAGCTTTTCGAGAAGGAAAGCGGACTCTCCCCACTCTTGACCGTACCAGGGCATTTGGGGGCCATAAATCATATCATACATATAAAAAGTAAATGAATTATTAACTTTGAACAAATCAATTAAATATGTTTATGTTATACATAAATATAATACTCACTAGAAGAACTATGAGAAGAATTATCATTATTTTGTGAATTGTTTAAAATAGAAGTTGGTGAACATTTTGAAATGTTTGTTGAATTCATTTTAGATTTCTCTTTAGATCTTGAAGTATTTAAAGATTTATCGGATGTTATTTTTGATTTCATAGAAGAATTATTTGCTTTACGATTATTATTATTTGAAACTTCATTAGATTTTTCCTTTTCTTTAAGATTTGTATTCATTTTAGACCAAATAGGATCTGAAAGTTAAAAGAGTAAAATACAAACAATAATAATAATATGTAAGAAAGTTGTTGCTAACAAAACACCAAATCTATTTAAAAATATAATTGATCATACGAATCTTGTTTAAGTTATATAGTTATCAACAATCCTCATCATCTACAAATGTATGTGTATGTATAAACGTGCAAACATTGAACGTTTCATCCAAGGAGTTGAAACTTGAAGTAAATGGTAATTCATTTGTTAATTAATGACACTTTATGTACTCGGGGCTTTCATGTACACTTCTTTAATTGTGTAACGATTAGTGGATATTATCCAGTTGTGGTGTGTGATATTGATGTCGATAGATATAAGTAATATGTATCACCAACAGAAAATGAAATACCTGATGATAGTAGGTTAAGAAGATAAAAGAAAATAGAACGAAAACAGAGAGTGATTGGTGTGAAAACGAAGGAACAATCAATTCTGAGACAATTGATTGAAATTTTGTAAATGAAGTATTTACTGTATGGTTCTCAGATTTTACAACGACATTCTGTAATTTTATATTCAAATATGTTTGTTTGTCCTCCATTGTTGTTCTCGTTCACTATACAGTCACTAAAACCAAGGTAAGTAGCAAGCTAAATTCGGATTTTTAATTTATTGGTGGTAATTTAGAAAAATTGAACCGTCGCTTTTACATGAAGTTCGAATACAAACAATTCCATAGGGATAGATGTGACTGACCAGTTAGCTAAGTGAAAAACAACTTACTCTTTTCAATAGTGAATTACAAGGGGAACAATAAGTAAATAAGTAACAATTAAACTGGACAACTAAATTGTACGAAATTTAACTTGGAATTTTTAATCAGGAATCAATTGGTGAAATCAACAGAAAACAGTGTGAAATTCAATTAATATTTTAGATAAACTGTAATTACTAATGCCACTATGCAATAAACAAACTCAATGGATATATGCTTAGAAAAAAGCTGTTAGTTAGTTATAATCAAACTAGGACCTTGGATCAATACGAGTTATCCCAAGTTACTATACCAAATTAACATAACGAAATGAAATTAACGTAATGAATAGCAGTATTTATAATAAGAAAGACTACAGGTTTAGAATATGACACAAGAAGGTTGAATGAAAAAATATATGTAAATGAACGCCAGACTTCAAGAGCTGGAGGGTGAGTCCATTCGAGCAATTGTGACCCAGCTCACCCAATGTCTACAGTCATTAGCCATCAGAATAGCGTGGACACTAAACGGGTGGTTTACACCTACCGACATGGCTCAATCTAACAGTCAATGACTTCATGGATTGATGCCACATCTTGATTTGGCAGCTCCTAACTTTCTTTTAACTTGCTTCCACTTCGTACAACATTTCACATCAAGATAGACGATGTTTAGGGATACATGATACATGGTCTAACCACCTCATCCGGTGAACATTAACGGCTCATTAACCGATTCGCTATCGTTTTTGAGTATCACATACCTAACGTCAACATAGATCACTGGACAATTTCACGGTACGCTAGCAATGGTTCGGAGATATCTATGATCAAAAACTTGCAGTCTACATTGCAAGGCTGATGAGATTTGTTATCTTGTACCATATGAACCTAAGTATACTGTTCACATTCCATAAGGCATTTAGACTGTTATCTATCGATAAGTCATCACAACAACTTGCTGTGCTGTCCAGATATCATCCTCTTACTGAGAGGCGGAAAAAGACTTTTATTCATTAAAGATTTTAGACAGAGCAAGTCCAAATAGCTTACTGTCCAATAACTGAATCCTTTATTTATCTTTTATTATTGAAGATTAATTCATTTCTTACACCCTGTGTCGACTTTTTTTAATTTTATGTCTTTGTGTTGGATTTTAAATGGATTCCATTTAAGAAATGTGAGCATTTCATTATCATACAGAAAAACGAGCACGTGGATTGAGTACGTATCGATTCCAGTCGGCAGACATCAAATTAGAGTAGCGAGAGAGAAAATCAACAAAATGAGTTAGCAACGTATGAGAAATTCAGTCTCCTTTTACATTTCTCCACAATATTATCGCTTTATTCTTCGTGACTCATTCTCTCAGTACCTTATTGTTCTTGAATTGTTGTGAATTATGGGTAAATCAATGTCTTCAATCACAAACGACAAATATTGCGTGCAACTAACCAAGAGACTCGCACCTACCAACAGTTAATAGTGTCATGGACCGATGACATGTCTTGATTTTTCTACCTGCAGATTTTTTTCAACTTATTCCTGTCAGGTAGCACTGTATATCTGAAAAGTGACTAGGTATGTATGACACATATTTTAACTATCTAGGTCGATAAAAGCTTGTAGTTTCATCCATTGACTAGCCATTTCAACCTATTACTTTACGACTAACTTCACCATTGCCCATTTAATGGGTGCACATTGAACGAACAATGGTTTAAAGACAATTAGGATCAGATAATTTCAGCCTATACATACGTTCTGTTATAATAGGTCATACAAAGAGAACTGCTGAGCAGTATGCTCACTCTTTGGTAGAAAGCAAACATCTTAACTGTACTACAGCCGCCACATACAAAAACCAACACCACACCAAAATACAACAGACATTTACGTAGTTAGGTGAAATTAAAATATAAACAGTATGCCCTATATATTAGATTCACTAATAATAACGCAATGAATCAATAATTTGAATCAGATCACAGTATTTATTTTTATGGAAATTAAAAGGAACCTATATCAACATGACTGATTGAAATAAGTTATTATCAGACAAAATGCAAATGTAGTACAAACATTTCACTGAATAACAATATACATACTTTGTTCAACGCATACAAAATCAGTGTCAGAAACATTGTTATCATTTGCAATACCACCATTATTACCCATGTTTGGTTGATGAGCATCGTCCATAACAGCGGAGAGGCTAGCAGATTGCTGTATTAAGGATAAACGATAGAAATAATTTCTCCAAAATATCTCTTCACTAATTCTATATGACAAAAATGGAAGGTAATAGTATATTAAATTGATTTACAAAAATTATGAAGCATAAAAATGAAGAAATATTACCGTTGACTTTTTTTAAAATTAAGGATTCCCATACTGTCCCCTTCTTCCTTTACCCTAACCTATTTACGTAGAATGTAATCGGTAGAAAAATTTGGTTCCATTTGAGAACTAATCATAATGACACAAAGAAAACTGGTTGGGGAGATCGGTAGAAACTTCCTTACTGATAATCGAGAAATTTCATAGAGATTAAAATTCAAGGATTCAACTTGGTTTGTGTACATTTTTTGTGCATAATATTGGAAGCAGTGATTCTGTCAGCATAGAGATATTAATGATAAAATCATCCACACACATACATATAATTGATGTTTATAGAGTTGCATAGTTAATAGGATAGTTCTCATTTTTTGGTGAACTGTTATGGTTCAGGACTGTGAAACATTTATCTTCAACTTAGTTAACTGTATATGTATTAAAGAATTCAAGTAGTTATCTAATTATCGCGGTAATTTGAACAGTTATTCACTGGAAAAAAGTCGTTGGATAGGAAGACAATATTTGGAACAAGTTTTTGAACTATCGCTACCTTCAAAGTATCGGTTACATTTAGTGTTGGGGAACCGAGTCAATCAACATCATGATCATATCATTTTAGCACTAACAGAAAAACAACACTTCATACCTGATGGTTAAGTATAGTCCATCCTCATTTCTGTGTAACGTTTGCCACAGGTAAGATGGAAATGACGTCTAGTCTTTGAACATGTATTTCGATCATTTATTTACTTACAATTGGGGTTGAGTAGCATAATATTGTAAGAATAATCTCGACAAAATAAAAATTCCCAAAATAACTTGTCAAAAAAGATATGGCTCACTAATATAAATTACGCAAGTTTGTGTAAAAGCATTGTATAATAATTTAATTCATTCATTATATAGAGATTCATGTACTCCGGCCCGAGACCAACTATGAACTAGTGACATTACCTAGCCTGTCTAAACTGAAGTATACATAGATTAAGGTTTGAATCTAAAATATATGGCTTGACAGTCAAGTGCATTAACCAATAAACTACATAGTTACATCAACTGGTTGACAGAAACGAATTAATGTGGAAACAAAAAAATAGCAAAATCTATTGACTATGATCATAGCATGAGTCTTTTTGTGGAATACTTCTTAATAATCTCAGTAAAGGAACGAAACGGATAAATCAGAAACACACTAAGTGAGCCTTCCTATTCATATTACTATATAAAGCTAACAAGAGATAATTTGGATCAAGTTCATCTCCTTTGTGTAACACAATTACTAATAAACTAGAACCTATATTTTTTAGATAGTCAGTAACGTGCTAGACCATGATAAGTGATTTGGAAAGGTTAACTTCTAGATCAATAATATGCACAACTTACTTGCTAGGGACAAGTCGATACCTTATAGAACCTAAATTAGGATCTTCTTTTAAAAGGATTTGAGCTTCACGTAATAAATTGTCAGGTATTGGTGATGTCCATTCGAGCTGAGCTTCTTCAGGAGGAGAAATAAGAAAGTTATTTGGATTTTGACTTAAAGCTAGGATTTGTTCTTTCAGTGAAGATAGAGCATCACAATCACTTAATCCGCATATATCGGGATGCCATGGTGGAAGTTCAGATTGAGATGATGAACGAAAACGAATTGCTTCTTCATTCTTATTTTGAGATGTTACAGCAAAGTCAGCTTGAGCTTTTTCAAACTCACGTATGAGTGGGACCTTGTAGATATAGAAAGATAGGAATTTTACTGAGTTTATAGACAGTAATAGTTCAACAATTTTGAAAAAAGCCTAATATAAACTGAAATAGCATAAAATTTGATGATTTAAGATTATTCACTTACAAACGAAAAAAAAAAACAAGTCAACTACTTATGGATGGGATAATATTATAAGGAAGTCAATATAACTGATTGGGTCCCAGTTGACAGTCGACTGCAAACTGGAGAGCTAGTCATAATAAAACGTGAAGCATAGAATATGCTAATATATGCACGTCGACTGAAAGAATTTTGAAGGGTGAATTCTGTCGAAGGTCAAAGTGTAAAGCGTACAAATGAAGTCATACTATCTGTTGACTTCGGCGAGAAGACAAAGAGACCAAAGTAGGAGAAATAAAATATGGTGGAGAGAGCCTTAATATTCTGTATCGATGAGTCAATAGCTACGATTGCTTTCCGGAATCTTGTTTCGACCGTCTCCCAACCAATAATAAATAAAGATGATGTATACGATATGTCGGACAAGAACTAAGTTTAACAGGTTTTAATCTTATCGGTACTTGAGTAACCTACGAAATCGGTATCTCCCAATCGCTTGCGTTTTAAATAACTTCTAATCATGGATATTTTTGTGTTTAAGGTTCTTCACATAAGTAAGTCCTCTCATTAAATAAAAGAAAGCCTATTCTATTTGGCACGTCTTATTTTCTAATATTTGTTTATCTATATGCTCACGTCAACGACTTAGTCTCGTGAGCCGTTGTCACTTGGTTACGTTGCATCGTTGCACTGGATCTATTGATTAGCGTTGAATACATACATCTTACTGATCTAAAAACTCAAATAACTAATCCGTAATTCTCAATGGTCTAGCTTAGCAATCGTTGGTAAAAAATTAACACAAACAAACTATATTGTTATTGATCATCGTCCGAATATTTCTGCTCACATGAAAAACACTTGCAGAATTTCAATCATGAACGAGTTAATAAATCTGTGTCTGAATAGATGAGAATAACACTTTGGTCGTTTTAAGCACAAATGTGTTTATGCAGGGAAAATTAGGTGGACTGAAAATATGTGTAAAGTAATTCAAAGTTGACCTGACCTGATTTTACGAGGGAAAGAATGAAGACGAAATGACGAACTATGAAAGGTACTTTCCGGGACGTTAATTCACTCAATTCCTAATCTACGTATGCGACTTCCTTACTTCCTTTATCATAGATTTTCTTTTACTCTATGAACTGTTATCTTCTAGGATTCAAAATTTGGAATTTAAACGCGAGCTTTTTATTATATTCTTCTACCTTAAAAGCCCTATTTTGGCATATATTGCATCGTTCCGCTTATTATAACCTATGGTCCAAACACTCATATATTTGGTTGTGTACTTTTTTTATCCAGAAAGCATTCAAACATAAATGGTTTTCTGCTACAGTCGTCTTCTCTCTTCTCTTGCCAACTACCTAGTGTCGACGTAGCAGATCATTAGTCACCGAACAGAGTAGTTCTTTGCTCCCAAGGTTAATCACTCGCAAGTCGAACCCATGTATTTGCAGTCTTAGTCATATTAAAAGCTTAGAATATCAGGGTTATTAACTAGTCCTAAGAAAACCTCCTTTTATATCTAACTACAAAACAGGTAGCTAGACCAGGAGCATAACACCTGATGAAGTAATTTGTCTATTGGATAGGTGGCAAATCCCTTTGTTTCAGCTTCAATTTACAGAAAAGGTTTTATTTTCTGATTCTGAAGGTCTGATAAGATAGTAACAAAGTAACAGCTAGACTGATGTACTTTCTGCAAATGAAAATGGGGAAATCCTTCTAAAGACTGATCATCTTAGTTTCCAGAGATCTGGGATTCGAAAATAGCAAACGATTGCTAACTAGAGGATGTTCAAGCGCAGATGAGCGTATTGGTCAGGTATCCTGAAGTAACGAGGAAATTACATTTAAGACAGCACTTATGTTTGTCGACTGCATAACTCCAAAACTTTTAGCATAAACAGAATGTCGAATAAATATACTGTTATCTGGGAAATTTTGTTTGGACATACAATTGTTAAGAACTATTTCCTTGCACTTATTAGAAAGGATTATTTAGGAGTGGTCTGCAGTGATACCTAAACTAAGAGTGTAAAACTAAACAGTCAAAAACATAAACCACCCTCTCAAAGTTATATCAAACACAATAAGATGGTCATCAACAAAATTTTGATTGAGATGAAGTAAGCTAAACATTTGCCACCGTTTTGACTATATTTGTATATACCGGTTATTTATTTGAACACAAATATTGGTACAAAGGGGCACCGAATACGTATGCGCCATACAAGTCACTTGATTTGTGTGTGAGTTGTGATTCTGCCCGGGTGCCCAAACAAAAACAGGTGGTTTTCTTGGAAGACCACTCCCCGAGCCCTTGATCTAGAGGTCTAAGTAGTAATATTAGACTCAAATATATGGTGGGAACCTTCTACACTCAACCGAAGCTGACATTTCATGATTTTCGAGAATGGTCCTCCTTAGCGTGCTGTCTGCATGATGAACCAATTTCGATGAGTTGCCTCCAAAACGTTTCCAGACATGAATATAACTGGAATCGAATCCAAAATCAACTCTTCCGTGTCACCGTTTAGTCCTTTTTCATACTTTTAAAACTAGCAGTAATATTAAGTACAGCAGCAAAGCTGACTTTATTCGATCGTTTAAGAAAACGACTGATTCCTTTGTAAATGAATTATGCGTTAGATTTGGTAGAGCTGAAAGGGGAATATGATGGGATTAAAATACAAGTTGATTGCAAAAGGAAACTAGTGAACGTAAGTTACGTCGTAAGATAACTACCAAGATAGGAGGTATACTTAGTGAGAAAAGCATGATTTATGCGAACAAAGAAAGTGAAAACTATACACACATTGAATTCGTTGGACTGTGATCAGTTCAGTTTTGAGCTCGACGCGAATGAACATCTGGCCGAAGATAATGTTGCTCAAAAATCAGCCAACCGTTTTTTTAAGACTTGGTGATACCACTATAGACACGAAGTCAAACACAGTAACACTCCTGATGTATCTTTTTTTAGGTCAATCTAATTAATTGATAGTGAGAAAGTCAACGCTTATGGTAGTGCAATCTGCTGTCCAACTACCACAAGTATTAAGTCCTGAAGGATCTTATAAATATGTAATTTAATAGGCTACAACTGATGTTGAAACCAATGCGACTAAAATTGCTACTACAAATATAAAGGATAGTAAATTTCCTCTGAGACTAAAGTGATACTTGACTACAAATAAGATTATGTAGTTATTGTGACTGTCGCTTATGTGGCTGATGTCAAAAGAATGCAATCATTGACCAGAGCTAATAGTCTTGATAGTGATATGGAAAAAGCTTAAGGATATATCAATATGGGTAGTATGATTGCTCAGCTAAGGACTTGAATAAAACTGGTGTTGACTTTGAGTAGAGATCAGGATCAAAGCGTGGAAACTAGAAATACAGTAGTCTATTCTTATGGTGTAATAGTTTCTATAATTGCACTTGATAAGGGACAATTTTTGTTAAAGGTCGATGGTCGTATTAACTACCATATACTTGAGGGTATTAAAAAGTATATACAACACAGTGGTGATGCTGATTCTTAAAGTAGTCCGATCGTGTGGCTGGCTATATTTAAAGAATTGAGGTTAAGGAGGATAAGAGTTCCCCGCACTTTGGAATGGACTGGACTACAGTTACTTAACAAACGAAAATACGACTTCCCTACTCGATAATCATCCTCATTGAGTTTGTAGTGTAGTATAATGACATAATCTAGATTAGTGTTCTCCACTTGGATATGTGGCTTACGAACGTTGTTCAGTTCACTATAATCCAAGTGAGAAACAGGATTTCTTTGAGTCCCGTCATACTGTTGAAATTTCAGACTGTAACTCGTGAACACGTACTCAGACTACCCTCGATACAGGTGTTAGATATACATCTTACTGAATTAAAGGTCGAACTGAGTATTGAACAAAGAAAAACTAAATATTTACATCGAATAAAGCACTTTGGTGAATGCTGGTGAATAATCAGTCGGAGACATACGTACATATGAACGAAAAATAGAAACGAAGTAAAAGAGGACATTAAGAAATTCTCACCTGTTTGACAGAAGCTGTTACATCATTTACAACTGATTTGATTTCGGTTAAATCTATTCGATCACTAAGTTTTTTAACTGCTTCCTCACTGGACTTCACGGCTTTTGAAAATAAATAACCTACGACAGAGGTTCAGGAATACCACAGAAAGCTTACTTCCCCATTCTTTTGCAGCAGAAAGTTTGTCTGATATTTCCCTCTGAATATCTTTTCCAACTGAATCACAAACTTCGGCATCGGACATAACGTAACGCAGTCATAGAAGCAACCGCTGGACTTCACTACAACTTCACCGACATTTCTATTAAAATACATTATAAAAAGCTTCTCAATATCATCGTAACGAAACTTTATAAATCAGTTGACATTACACCTTAACAATACGATCCTCAAAGCTGAACTCCAGACAACTGAGAAATCAGATATTCAACATTTAACGCTAAGAGAAACCCAACGATAGAAAAGGCGAGAAGAATTTATTCAATTAGCTCGAGTTAATTGAATGGCATCTCTCGGCCTTGCAGGTGTGGTCCTACTTATATAACAGTCTTTAATCTATATTAAATATATTGTTCTGTCTCCAGCCTAAATGTGTTCCTCACGATATATTGATCATTGTTACAATACATATGAGTCATGGTAAATAGTGATGCGACACCCACATAAAGTCTCGTAGGTTAGATAGTTACATCATGACAAATGTACAATTTAGGACTAAGTCTATTGCCAGAGCAGTACCAATATCATAGTTGGCCATAATCCTACAGATTTCTATGCAATCGCTTCTTGTCGTCTAGGTACATTTCTAGGTATTAGGTGATGTCCAAATGTGGTAGTCTGATCGCCCGATTGCGTTCATACCGATGAGCCGGGCAGTTATTTCAAGATTTCTATATCTTGTATTTTAAGCGAGTGCGTTTGTCTCAGGAGATTATGGGTCCTGCATGCCAGCAGTGATCACGTTACTAAGTAGGAGGTTGTTTGCGAAGCGGTAAATAAGTCCTCAGGATTGGATAGTTCTTTAAGTCTTTTGCATTTGGCGCTGACCTCATTAATCTGAATGGACACGTCCAACTGAACGCGCTCGGTCACGCATAAGTATGTAGTGCTACACATCTCCTACAACCGTTTGCCAGCTTAAATTAAACGCCTTTCGAGATAGAGATAGCCTTTCAAACATAACTTCGAAACTCTTCACTTCTGACTTCTGATTTAACTGGGTTGACCTACTTCGATTATAAAGGTTTGACTGGTAAATGCGATGTCAAACTCTGCATACTTGTGTCATCTTTAGTCGGTTCGATGTGAAAATAACAAAGTGGTAATTCGAGTGCTACGAGAAAAAAATTTTTCAAGAATAATAAGTTAATTGACTGGCTTATGTTAGATGAAACTGAAAAAATAAGAGGGAAAACGGAGATGATATTAATAGACACAAAAACGGTTACAGATATTCCATAATGATAACCATCGTAAATCATCAGACATACATCAGACACAGCTGGTCGATTTTCCATGGTATTTTACATGATATAAAGAGTGAACTTTTATATGCCTATATTTATTTATATTTATTATTTTGATAGTATTTGTGTATTAAAATTATTTTTAAAAAAAACGAAAAAACCTTTTCATAAAAGTCACTTTTACGCTATCACATTCACATGAGCTTATTTTCGTTCCTTCGCCCACTTTGTTTCTTAAAGCGCGCACGATTTCATTTCGAAATGCACTTACAGATTCTTTTTTTCCCTTCCATGACAGCTGGAAAATACGAAAAAAAGAACAATGAGGTTTACGAGGGACCGAAATTTTCATTGTACATTATTTTTCTAACTACATTGTAATTCATAGTCCCTTATAGTAAGGAAAGACGAACAGACGCTGATAAACCTAGCAAACTGTCAGAAGACTGGTTACCAACGACTAACCCGTTGGGCTTTATTGAACTTACCTAGCAGAAGGCGCTCCGTCAAACATCTAACCAGATCACAAGTGGGATCGCCGTGGTCAACAACTCCTGAAATCGCTAGCTAGATTAGATCAGACGATCCTAGGTCTATTAATAGCCTATCAAATATAACTTAGAACCTTCTCACTTTTGTCTTTTGATTTCCCTTGGTGGGTACGCTTCATGTTAGATTTTACGGGCTAAAGCATTGTCAAACTCCGAATACCTGTGGCATCTTCAGTATATTTAAATAACTCTGTATATTCGGTAACTTAGACCTTGCTTAGGAGTAGGATGTCTACTTTCTGCTACTTAATTCTGACGAATAGGGTGTCAACTGGAGAGAAAATGCTTCCTAACACACCCACTTTACTGATCTATGAGTGGATGGTAATAGAATTGTAGAAAAAAACAGTTAACATGTGCGTAGGAATACAAAGACTTAGGGCTGATAGCAAGTCACAACTTGAAGACAACTTGTAGCGTGGCGTCGAGTCGAGGTTTATTAGCTGGCGATCACGTGGCATCGAAAGGATACCGAGATCGTGCCAGGGTACAACCTTGGTTACAGAAGGTAACCGAATTCGCGCGAAGTTACAATCGAAGTGTAAGTAAAAGAATGGAAGCACAAAATAGCTGTCATTAGCACAGTCAAACAAAAGCACGTTAAAACAAACACTGGTACAGTTGGCTATAATAATTGTTTTTATTAAACCAGTCGTGTTCTCGTGATAAACGTGAGTCACTACAGGAGCCCCCCGCTAGAAAGGGTTTACACTTTCGATAAATAGCGGTTTGAATCGTGGGACTGATCGGCTGACGAGCGATTGTAGGACGGAAGAATTGGCGAACAGGAAAGCGATCGTTGATCGACGAGTTGCCAACGAAGGTCGTTTTCGGAGAACAGTACCAGGAGCGATGTGTTGTATTTATTGCTCGAGTTGGCATGCTACACCAGAGTGGTTTGTATCCAGAATCTGAAGAGGGCGTTCGTAGAGGTGCGCACCAGAAACGCTGCAGACGTAGGACGAAACCACGTTGAGCCAAAAGACCAGAAACGACCGTAACGACCAAGTTCGAGACCAAGCGTATGCCAAGCATTCGAAACCAATATGTCGACTGAAAACGTTGACAAGAGCGTGGGTGGCCAATCCAGCTTTCGCCAAAGTTGACTGAAGTCGACGGAACCAAACGGAGATGGTCGAAGGTGTGGGCTCAGGAAACAAAAAGAAAATCAAAATAAGAAGAGTGTAGCATACGTGTAGTATAGGAATAATCCTACACAGTATCGGTTGTTGACTGTGCGACTATTCGCGGAAGCGTACGGGTAACCGTACTCGGCGACCGGAACGTGAGACGGCAGTCTCGTTCGCGTCGCGTGAGCCTGCAATCTCATCCGAAGTCAAGGGCGGCGTGGTCTGCTGATCTGGACGTGAGACTGTCGTCTCGTCCGTAGACGGTGCAGATGACGCGTGCTGTTGACCGGGACGTGAGAATGAGGTCTCAGATGTGTCTAGCGTGGGACCTGAAGAGGATTTAAGGATCCCGCTAGGTTTGATAGGTCTAGCATTGAATCTCAGGTTGTCAGATAGGGCACTGTCATCGACGTGTGCTGGTTTGAGACGATCAATGCTGACGATCTCGACGCGTCCATATCGATCAACCTTGAAGGTCTTTTCGTGACGAGCGATCACGTGAAAAGGGCCTTCGTAAGGTTGTTGCCAAGGTTTGCGTACCGAATCTACTCGTACAAAAACATGTGAAAGGGTAGAGAACTCTCGAGAGAGAGCGACCTGTCGATGTTGTTTTCGAGTTGACACCGGAGACAGCGTTCGCATAAATGCAGACAGTCGATGAACGTAGTCTGATTTACCGAAATTAGGTCTGCTCCGTGGTGTGAAGAATTCTCCGGGCAGACGCAATGTCGTGCCGTATACAAGTTCAGTGGCGGAACATTGGATATCTGCCTTTAAGCTCGTTCTCACCCCTAAAAGAACGAGCGGTAAGGTTTCGTGCCAGTTGCCGTTTTCGTGTGCTCGTAGAACACTTTTAAGTTGGCAGTGAAACCGTTCAACTTAACAAAAGCACGTTAAAACAAACACTGGTACAGTTGGTTATAATAATAATTGTTTTTATTAAACCAGTCGTGTTCTCGTGATAAACGTGAGTCATTACAAACTAAACATTGCAATTATCTACACAAACCTTTACTGATAAACATTGCAATGTGGCAGCCGCCAAAGGTTTTCGAGCGTTATGCTCACCTTGCCGAGCATCCTAATGCTTGGACGAAATGTTTCGAATTTAATATCCCACCTATTCAAGACCGAATTTAGAGTACCGTATTCATGCAGCTGGTTCATTTCTTACTAAGGATACTATGTGTGAACAAAATTAACGGAGAGTCTTCTCAAACCCCTTTACGACGAGAGCCCAAAAGCCTGAATCTTTCCCCTTATCGCATACTAGACGCAAGGTGACCATATATTGGTGTGGTAAACAAAGTGAAAGAGTCAAAACAGGGTCATTAACTTAATATTCCTATTATTGATGATTGATAAGCTGACAGTGTTAGGTCGGCTAGATACACTAAAACAGTTATTGCCAAATCGACAAGCGTTAAAAACAAGACTTTGATGAAGATAGGGAGTTACTAAATACTATCGAAACGATTGGAAGGATGATCAAATACATTGCATAAATGTACCAGATTATTGCGAACGTATCGTTTATTTGACAGCGGCTTTTACAAAGTCCGTCCATTACTTGAACAACGTAATCAGCTGTAAGCATGACGTTGAATGATACAGAAGTGCAACGTCAGGTAACCTACTTTGACTTTTTTATTTACCACATTATTAAGATTCGCCACATGATGGCCTTTATAGACCAGGAAGCTCGAGAAAAGGTGGAGGAGATAGATGCCAAAGTTCGTTGATTAATTGTCTAATGACATTATAAACTTCTGTAGGCCGAAGAAGAGTTCCAAATAGAAAAGTCCCGTTTAGTACAAAATCAGCGGCTCAAAATAATGGAGTACTACTCAAAAAAGGAAAAACAGATAGAACTGACCAAGAAAATGTAGGTTTTCCTCCGTCTTACTATGCTTGTCTTTATTTAGTCAGGATTCCAACTTAAAAAATCAGTCTCGTCTTAAGGTTTTGCAGAGCAGAGAAAATCACATTGAAGTATGTCATGTAAATTACATAGCTTTGGCAGATGTTGCTTAAGGAAGCCCGGGAACGTTTACGGATGGTTACCAGAGATCGGGATGTTTATCAGAAGTGCCTTTCAGGACTTGTCTTAGAGGTAACGTTTGGGCAATCATGTTCCACTGCTTTATATCATTTTCAATTTAAGTGGCCAGTCTGATCTTCATTTCTGCATTTTTGACAAATCTCTAAACTTGTTTTCTGGTGAATAAAATTTAAGGTCTTCCATGCTTGTGGAAAGTCATATTCATGAAGTCACTTTATACAAAAAGCAGTCCAGTATAAAATCCAGATAAACAGACATGACATATGTCCTTATTTGTCTTTGGTTAGCACGAATTACACGTCATTTGTTAAACTGCCACGATGTTTAAAACCTTGTAATCTGTCGGTAATTTAGTTGTTTCGATCATTCTCGAGCTCAGGTGCACGGATTACTGTATAAAACCGAAAGTAGGCAATCGTATTAAACTAAGTATTGGAAGCGGTTAGAAACTCTGTACATGATTAAAGAATAAAAGGTATGAAATAGTAGTAAGTTGGTGATCAAGTTCATTGTAATCCTTTGTTTGCCTAGCAGTGCTCAAGTAGATTTTTTGGTGCAACCATTATTACCACTCGTGATAAAAGATCACCAACATACACTCTTTATTTCTTGTAACTTCCTTTACTTGTATGTTATCCCTAGTTAGGGTCACATATTGTGCCTCACTGACAATAATGGTAAGGAAATAATAATCAGTCTTCTTTCATTCTCGGGCTTCAACAGTTTTTGAAGAACATTAAAGAATGATTGAATAAGTATATCAACAATCTTCAAATTTGAATTGATTTAATTTATAAACCAACATAAATAATGCTAATTACGTCACAATTTTTGCACTTGGTCTTACGTGGTATTTCTAATAACGTTATTAATGTCAGCAAATATTGCACGACATGAATACTGAGTACACTAGTCAATTTTTTTACTAAGCTGTGTTAATATACTCGAAAGGGTTCTATTTAATGTTAAAATACCAAACATTACAATAGTATACTGCACTCAAAATCGTTTTCTCATTTTACAAATTTTTCCAGGGACTTTTCCAGTTACTGGAACCAGAAGTTATTATCAGATGCCGTCAGGTTGACCGTGATTTAACTCAAGTACGTCCTCATTCTTCTAACTGTATTGTCTTGTTTTGTGTTGTCAACCCATTCCACAGTGTACATTCTCCATAATAGAAAATGTGAAAATTCCAATTTCAATTTTAGTATAAATATGAATAACGGTTGCTAGTATGTTTAGCATCTTAATTGCTGTCTACTTTGGTGATAGGTTAACGCTACAAAATGTGTCTTAATTGATATATGAATTGTGATCATCATTGAGTACTAGAAAAAATGTTGGTAATTAAGAAGTTGAATGTGGTATCACCAGTTATTTTACAACGAAAATCATTCTGGAGTTGGACCTCAAGTTATGCCAAAGTTGTGAAGATACCCTTAGATGTGTACAAATATCTGAAGTTGTTTATATTAACTAGGTTAGGTTCTTCATTTTTATTATGTTACGGGGTTAAGACATTTTTAATTTAACAGAACATCCTCATTCTTGTTCTTATACGACATCCTTATGTATCAAGGTAGATATAACCGTAACTCAACAGATAATTATTAATCATCATTATTTCTTAAGTCAACTCGATTATCCTACAGAATTATTTCATCTCTAACTTTAGAATGTTCTACCAGAATGTGTTGCCGCCTATCGAAAGCAGACGGGTACTGATTGCAGAGTCACAATCGATAACAACTACTTACCTGATAGCCTGTAAGTCATTGCAAAGTATTTTTGTATTTAACCACCGAGTTACCAGTTATCTATAATTGGGCTAACCAAATTAGACACAAAATATTGTTATAGGTTAATAAATCATACTCAGTCAGTGAGATACAGTTTCTAGCTCCACCCAGTCTATCTTATGTTGCACAGTCAAATAGTATCATTAGCCCGTACAAAAATGTGTGACTCAAAACAACATTTCTGTACTTGTACATCGTCACTAAATTGCATTAATTTTTTTAGATTAACTGCAATAATCAATTAATAAGGTCTAATCTTACCCTTAAATTTACTAAACGTCTATGTACATTTTCCTGGGTTTACCTATACGATTTTCCTAGGTGCTCGATAAATTTGGTTTTTGGCTTTAAAAATATCGATTTCTTCATTAATGCGGATGTATTCAATTGATAAATTTCGACTGGAAGGGAATGCATTTGGATTCTACTGGTTTTTGAGATGGTCTTCAGTCAGTCATCAACAACATAGAACTTCGTACGTACGTACATCAGTTCAAGTTGCCATACCACATTAGCACACAGATACAATTGTTGATTCGAATCCCATAGTGGTAGAGTTAGTAAAAGTATGAGCAGTAATCGGAAAGATTAGGTGTTGAATATGTTATTCAAGGAGTATAATCCAGTGAAATAAATTTGGAAAGAGGAAAAAAGGGACATGAGGAATTCAGAAGATTAGAATTTGGAAGAACACAAAGAGTGGATGCACCTGCGCCATTGCAGACGATTTCTGAGCCATGTCATTCAAGGTCTCTAACCATCGGTTGCTATCGTTTCGCGGATCCCAACCAGATAGTCTACACCTACCAACATGGTTCAGTCCATTTATCCGTGACTTCATGGATTTGTGCCATGATTTGGTTTGGCCGACCCTAGCTTTCTTCCATCCTACTTCTACACCATAAAACATCGCACGTCGGGGCAGTCGGTGGTTGGGCATACGTAACACGTGTCCCAGCGATCTCAACTGATGAAGTTTCACTACTTCATCAATTGTTTTGCCATCCTTACCTAGTACCCGTTTCCTAACAACTGCATTACTCGGTGGTCTTGGCAAATAACGATTATCTACATGTAGTACCTGTGAGTTGAGTCTAGTTGACGTCTTACCATATTTAAATGACAACTTATCTGTTTAGCTCAAAGTGGTTTTCAGTTTATTTGTTGTCGATAGTTACTTCTGTTTGGATCCTACTGAGCAAGTTAACATGTTATGATGTTCTATCTGCTTTATCTAACTGTATAGAAATTACTAAGAATGGTAAATAGGTAATGCAATGTTATTGTTTGAATACAAATACATAATTTTTGCTTGTGTACATATGAGCGATTTGGTTATTCAAAATGGTCATCAATACCAGTAATATCGGTACGGTGGAGGGTGACGAGAGTCCGCTCTCCCTCTCCAAATGCTCTCACATGGCCACGCGTATACAGCTACTGTCAGAGAAGTCCTACTCACTGCCTTCTCGCGGCGGGGGTGTATTTTACGAAATTGAAAGGACGAAAAGCTAATGTCCGGCCTATTGTTGGTGACCGGCTACCATTGGACTTCATCTCCTTGTGTATTAGATTTTGAGGTTGAAGGCTCCAGGTGTGCCCCTCTAAGAAAACCATCTGCTTCGGCTTGGGTAACTGGACAGTATCCTAGCCCTCACACAAACCAAATGACAAACTATGGCATATATATTTGGCGCCTTCTTTACCAATGTTTGTTTAAATAATTAAATAACCAGTAATATCAGGGATCACCTGTTTATACAGAGCGATATATAAGTATCGTACTTATCGTGTATTTAGAGTAAATTCCTCCGTCAAAATAACTAGTTTTCTTTTTGTTTTCATTATTAGCATATAGTATATGTGTAGTTATGTAATCTAAGTCTGATTAAATATGAAACTCATTAACTTTATCTTGTCATTACTTTGGTATCAAGCAATTTTATTCAGATGGTGTTATGTATCCCCAAATAATGAACTATCAAACTTTTTCTCAATTTAGAGCTGGCGGAATTGAAGTTTACAATAAAGATGGGCGTATTAAAGTAGTAAACACGTTGGAAAGTCGTTTAGATCAAATTAGTGAACATTTAATGCCACAACTACGTGAAATTTTATTCGGAGTAAATGAAGGTCGAAAATTCCGCAATTAATTGAATGATTAATCCAATTGTCTATTTCCGTTAACGACAACATCTAGCATAATAAATATTTATCTTTATTTCCTTTTAGTATCTGTTTATTACACTAAATACTTGATTTATTATTATTATTACCGTTTGTTATATTATTGCATGTATGGAATTTGAAACATTTAATTTCAATCTTACCATAAATACTACTATATGATTTTAAGTTTACTCTTCAACTTAAATCCATTCTGTAAACCTTTTTCGTTAAATCAAATAAAATGTCGGTAAATGGTGTTTGTGATGTAATAAGGTCTTAATCGCTATAAGGTGTAATTTATGGCAATTGTTATTACAAAAAATTAAGTTATAAATTATATTTAACTTAAAAATGATCTGTTTTAAATGCAGCGCGGTGAATATAACGACCTTTTAGACAGTTTTCTACATACTTAATTTAATCCTCCGAATAAGTTACCACTCTGTACCTATATCGTGATGTGTATACATCATTATTATTATTAGCTGTGATACTGCACCGAACCGGGGCAGGTTATCTTCTTAGATGTAATCACGTGGTAACCAGTGAACAGAGTATGGTGTCACCACTAGCCCCAATAACTACCCGAAACCCATGTGCACTGTTGGTTCGGAATCACATTTCTCAACCACTGTCTATGGGTTTTGTATCCATCAACCTGATTTAAGCGTAGGAGTCAGCTATAGCACTCCCACTTATGAAAGCACACACACCTCGTGAAGGTACTAAGCCTTGTGGAAGCTGTTACATGAAAGCATCTTAATAAAGAAAACTGAATCCCCATCCAGGAATATTAAACTGTTCAAAAAGCTCCAACTAACTACATGTAAGTGTTAATTGATAAATGAAGATAACGCAAACACTGGCTGAGAAGTGTTTGTGAAGACGATTACTTATAGAATTATTGGATGGATATTCTAAAAATAGAACTAGTTAGCAAAAACTGAAATTTTTGTCTATAGGAACTAGTTTGGTTCATCTTTCGACCAGAGTATATAGAGTTGTCACAATGTTTATAAATCGTGGTGGTATACTATACAAAATTACTTACTCCGTATACCAGTTTGATTAGTTAGAAAAAGGAGAATCATATGTAGCGTATTTTTTTTAGTCTAGCCGTGTACATTTCCATGTACTAGCTGGGGTCGAATCTCGATCTTAGCCAGGCTTGTCGAATAATCTTTAAGTTCCTTTGCTTCGTTATAATGCAACTTATGGAATACAGATGATGTGATACGCGAAATTGTATAGCTAGCGCATTACTAGGGCATTCAGTTGCTGAAGTAACGACAATGTAAAGAGAACCATACTGTAGACAGTTTAACACGGTAAATTATCAGAGAAATGTCATGATACCCATTTTGTTAGTTTAATCAGTCCTTTTATCATCCAATGATATAACTTAACCAAATATGTTCTCTCTACAAACTAGCATTATGGAATTGTTCCAATGACAAGAATATTCATAAATAAAACGAAATACAATGTAATTGGTGTGAATATTATGTATCCCCTCGTTTTTCTGATAGCTTCTGTAGTTCCCACTAAAAGAACCTTTGTAATGCTTACTAATAGTGCTTATTTAACAAAATCATAAATTAGTTTACTGATATATATTCTGTCAGAGTAATCCGTAATTGGCTGGCGAGTGTCGACAGACACACTTATTAATCACATGTATTATATTACAAACTGCTTCACTGATGCCCACTCTATACAGTGTCCGCAGACGCTGATATCTGTTTCTTGATAAGGCGGTCAAACTTTGATAGTTTGAGTCTCCTTTAACTCAGAGGAGACAAAGTTATTGCGGTCACATTTATTTGGGAGAGAACGTTTATGAATAATGTTTTTCTTTAAAAAAAATGATCAATTATGCCTATCAAACATCCGACAGTACTTCAAATTTATATAACCTTACAGTCAAAATGACCAAGGATTAAGAAACATACTTCATCGCTGCCATGTTATCGCACCTTCAGTACTAACTTTCGTAAGTCATGAATTTTTATGTTTTTTATTTAAATAATTCTGAATTCATTTGGTGGACAGTCGTTGCATCAAATACTAAAGGTATGGTATTCTGATGTTTTCTAAGCTCTTTTAGATATTGGAATTTATGTTCATATTAGATAAACACTACATAATATTCATGTAAAAATTTCGAATAACATGGGTCGAAATTGTTTGCAACTACGCAGGTGCATCCATTCTTCTTATTCCCCAGCATTCTGAGCCTCTGAATTCTTCATAGTTCTGTTTTTTTCTTTCACCAAGTTAAATTTCCTCGAATTGTATATTTTTTAATGCCTAATCTTACATAGTCCAAGTAATTACTGTTGCTACATCTATTCTTCTGGGATTTAGTCTTAAAATTTCATTTCTCTGTGTTCATAGAGTATGACAACTTGAACTGATGTACGTACATACCGGGTTCTAAGTTGTGACTAACTAACTATGATAAAAATACCATATTCGTATTTCATCTTATTTTTGAAATGGCATAATAGTTGTAATTAAAGATACTAACAAAAATCCTTCGATTTCAATACTGTACAATAGTTTATAGAGATTGGGAAATCTGTTTCCTTACTGCAAATGTATTCATAACACACAATGTAATTGTATATGTTCTTCTACAAATATGTTTTCAGACTATGGTTGATACCAGTTAACTGCATACTATTGTGAAGATAAGTATTGTTCTCAGTTAATAAATATTGATAATTTTATTAAAGAATAACTTGATTATTGAAAAGAAAAAAACACTTGATTAAAACAATCCATCAGTTTTTTAGGATAATAAATTTGTACACATTAGGATGTAGTGTCGGTTATGATGTTAAGCTCATATACCTTATTCTAGCTTCCGGAAATTCCATTCTATTCATTCTACTTGAGTCGTATTTTGACCTTGTTAATTATTCACTTATCAGTCTTGACTGTTTTTATATGAGCGTATATGTGTGTACACTTCATATCCCATGTCTCATCATATGTCTGTAGTTTATTTTGTCTGCCTATAAATATTGCGCAACGCCTGGCTAGAACTGGAGTTGGCTTACCAGCCATCTCCACTCTGCGTCGTTTCTCTTCTCTCTATTCGTTTCATATACAAAATATATGTATTCGAAAGTCCATTCTCGTTGTTTGGCTTATCTAAATCCGTTATTGACTAACGCGATTAAAGTCGATGATTATATACGAGAATAGGCGATAACAAACATTCGTACGACCTAAATGGTGTCAGATTCACGGGCCACTAAAAGGAAATAATACTTCATACGGTTCACATGTTATTTTTCTAAGTTGAGATTATTCTCAATGTGTTGTTGTATTCAAGTTCTTTTTAGTCATATAATAAGTGTTGTATAATAAAATATTCGTTCCATTAAAGATTTCAGTATATTTTTGATTTACATCCAGAATGGTAAGCTGCACTACGATGGTACATTTATAAAAGATAGTTGGAAATAACTTAATCAAATACATGAAGTGAAGTCTGGTAAAAAAAAGAAATTGCACTCTATTATAAGACAATCATTCATTAAATGAATGAAATGAGATCCGAAAAACTAAATACAACATACTTAATAGATCCACGTGGTGTTGTTTTACTTGTATCTTTCTATCGTTATTTAGGACTGCAATTGATCAGCCTCATGTTGGTATATGTGCATCCTGTACAGATTGCATCGATATAGCCTTAAGTCGCAAGCTTTTTAAGCAAAGATGGATAGTGGTTAGCAGTGAAATCCAGGATACGCGTTTCGTCCTGTCTGGTACTTGTCAGCTGGATGTACCTACATCCCAGAGTTAATGTTCACTCCGGGACTCAAACCTAGTACCGTTCTCGTCAAAGGCCATCGCGTTATGCACTCAGCTACTGAGTCCTGCTTATGAAATTGGGTGAAGTTTAAATTCACTTGGTGTTGTTTTACTTGTATCTTCCCATTGTTATTTATATATACTACATATTAGAGAATAAAATTGATCTAATATTTCACTTTAAGTAATTAATAGTGATATTTCATATTTGTCTTAATTTAACTCTTGAATGGTGATTCATTTATTTATTAGGTTATAAATGTTCGTAAAATTCATTTTTAAATTATACTATCGTAATAGGGATCATAATCAAATAGTGTTAAACCACGATTGAAAACCTGGAATCACTGGATGCCCATTTCACCCTATTAAAGGACTCCTCAGTTGTGCACATCCACGATCCCACACTCAGGACTCGAATTTAGGACCTCAGGCAACAACGCTTAGTTTCTAAACCATTGAGTCAGCATCGAGGTTTACAGTGGTTGTCTAATATTGATCGGTTCATGATCTCTATTGGAAATCATCAATCACCATAATCCCATACTGATAATTATATTATTCTCTTGTATGTATAATGTTCTGTAATTTCTTAAAATGATATAATCTAGGGGAAATTAAATTTGAACCTGTATTATAATATTTAACATTTGAATACTGTTTAGAGATGTTTTTTCCTCAAAAGTAAAAAAAGGTAGAATAGAACAGAGACAAGCAAATTTATGTGAACAGGGAAACAAGAAGCTCTGACAAACTGTGAAAGCTATTTTTCGGGACGTTGTTTCATTTTATGCAAAGCTTGTAAAACACTAACACTTATTTTTGCCCCTAATCTATTCTACAGAACATAAGCTTTCGTTCGATGTATGATTCATTCCCATATTCTTTTCTGTTCCGAAGCTATTGTAATTTAAACATAATATTTTGCACCCTATTTTCTAATTTAATTCCCAGCTTTGGACATAATTGTATTTTCCCTAATTATTGTACGTTGTGGTCGGGTTAGTCACCTATTTATTCATGTACCTTTTTACACTAATCTGAAATAAGCGAAATCGTGTTATCGGGAATAGATTGAGTAGTGTTCCAGTTGTCTTGTCTTCTCTCATTCGTGTGCTTGTCAACCAATCAGGTGATAGAATAGTTTTCTTCTCTCTACCCCATTTTGAACTCACGCGTACTAGCCTCAAGGATAGGTCGGCCAGTCTATCGCGCCAAGGTCTTAATCTAGATTAGATAAGTATCCTCAGCACCAACAGTGGGTAGACAGGTCAAAGGACATAACACAAATACAAGTGGATTGGTTGAAGTTAGACATTAACACCGTTGGATGCCGGCTCAGTGGTCTAGTTGGTTAAGCGCCTGGCGCGGGACTGGTAGGTCCTGAGTTCGAATCCCGCGGAGTGCGGGATCGTGGATGCGCACTGCTGAGGAGTCCCATACTAGGACGAAACGACCGTTCGGTGCTTCCAGGTTTTCCATTATGGCCTAGCTTCAATTGACCCATGATTTCAACCAGAGACA